GTCTTTACCCAGCCCACCACGTCCTGCATAATGAGGCCTCTGCCTGATTCTCCAGACACACACAACCCTTTCCTGACTTCACTCAATCTGTTTCTGCCAGAGGGACCTTCCTTCTCTTCCTAGGTTCCAGCAATCACTCTCCACCTCAGTCTTCCCACAGGCTACGTCCTTTTATTTACCAAAATAAAAGGTAAGGATGTGAGATGATGGATGTATTAATTGGATTATGGTAAATATTTTACAATGTATATCAAATCATTATGTGGTACACTTGATAGACAATTCTGTTTGTCAGTTTTATCTCAGTGAAGCTGGAAAACAATAAAACAAGGTAGGGTAACAGTTAAAAAAGAAATCAAACCAATGGTGTGGGGGCAGTCCTTAAGGCTCCCTGAGGTGCTGGGATTAACCTGTTACTTGCTGGATCATGAGTTCCTGGAGGATGGGGCAGGCTGCCAGAATGGGAAGGGTCCTGGGGCCTTCAGGACACAAGCTATTTGCCTACAAGTACAAACATATTTCAGTATTTTAAAAACCGGTACGGTTGCCCAGAAGCACCAGGCTGAATCTCTGTTCTGAGCAGAAGGGAGCTGAGAGCTCTCTAGCAAAGGTGGTGCTGAGATGCTTGAAAATTCATGGATGAAAAGGAGGCCACCCAGTCGTGTGAGGGCCGAATGGGGAAATTATGGAGCGGTGCATCTGCCCTTCACTGGCTGAGCTAAGCTTCAGTGACCAGGCTCGCAACACGGAGGTAGTAGCAGTACCCGCTCCGAAAGGACCCAGTGAGAAAGCCATGGGCAGTTCCTTCCACCCTGTTTGCTAAGTGGCAGGTGTTGCTGGTTTAGTAGTAATACTATTATCACTGTCATCATCACCATCAGGAAGTGCCCTAGACAAGAGAACCTGGGATCCAGCTCAGTGCTGCCATTATCTCTGTGACCATGGACAAGTCAACCACTCCGATCAAAATTCTGAGTATATCAAAATGTGACTTTTCTGGGGAACAGACCTGTATTTTTATCAGATTCTCAAAAAGAGTAAAAAACTACTGATTTTCAGGTGTCTGGGTAGTTCAGTTGGTTAAGCGTCTGTCTTCGGCTCAGGTCATGATCCTAGGATTTTTTTTTTTTTTAAGATTTTATTTATTTATTTGTCAGAAAGAGAGAGAGAGAGAGCACAAGTAGGGGGAGTGGCAGGCAGAGGCAGAGGGAGAAGCAGGCTCCCTGCTGAGCAAGGAGTCCCATGCGGGACTCAGTCCCAGGACCCTGGGATCATGACCTGAGCCGAAGGCAGACACTTAACCACTGAGCCACCCACGTGCCCCAATAAATAAAATCTTTAAAAACAAAACAAAACAAAAACTACCGATTTTCAAATTCTACATTTTCAAAAGGCTTACTATTCACTTCAAGTATCCAGAAACAAATGGTCTCAGCTGATATTAGGGTAAATGATACCTATTAATCACTATTCTGTTGCCCTTTATTCTAAAGGCCACTAAATTTATTCTGTATTTCCCTCAAGAAATATGTGTTACTTCATTTTTTCAAATGTTGCATTCAATAGGATTATCACAATAATCACACAATACATGTTCTTTTCCAAATTTTAAACTTTTATTTCAAACACTTAAACATAAAGTTGTTAACAATAACACAATATTAATAAGAAGCGAACATATTAAAATGTAAAAGTAAGTACTGAAACACATTGTTTCATCTCAAAACGTTGGACGTGGAAACACAGGTCATCTGCATCAAATAAATTCCATTGCATCCTGGCACCTGAACTTTCCCTAAAACACAAAAAATAAGGCTCTTGGGAGCCATTAACAAACTTTATGATTATTTGTTAAGAAAACAAAGTGAAGTGCAGTTCTGCACAAAAATCTTACCAAAAAGGATTTCCAGGGTTTATTTATGTAGATTACTATAGTTCAAGAGAAGAAAATAAAATAGAACAAAATATCCACCCTTACTTAAAATCTCTTAACATTAAAAGAATGGACCATCTCTCATACAAAAACTAAAGACACATACAAATCTGCACTCAAAAATTATTTGCATCACACGATGATTCGTTCCTCCCAAACACCACTGATGCTTACAAATCCTGCCTCCTGGTTGTGTGGAATTTGAATTCTGTTTGATGTAATGTGAGACCTACATACTCAACCAACAAAATCTTTATCTTCATCTATATTTTGTGAAAACAAATTGAGGCAAAACTAAATTCCAGCTCACCTGGAAGGAAAAGACATCTTTTCGCCTGCTCTTATTTCTCAGTGCATGTGTATGAATCCCAAAGCACTTTTTGACCTCCCCTGGCCCATTCCTCAGTTTTCATCAGCTATTATCACTGGTCCCTGCAGTGGGACTTGAAAGTGCCTCCGTGGGTTGGCAGGAAAACTTGTAGAATCAGGTTTCATGGGAGGAAAATACATTGCCCTTCTGAAGTCTATACTCCAAAAAAAAAAAAAAAAAAAGATCCATTCAGTGTGGTGAATTTCCCTGGAGTATGTGACCATATTCACAATGGGCATTGTCAAAAATAAAACTCGAGAATAAAACCAGGCCTTGGATATTGCAATCTCAACAATGAGGGCTAACATAACCATAGGCAGAATTTCTACGTACTGAAATGTCCGCAGCCAGATGTTCCTGGGGCTTATCAAAATGGGATCTGATTAAGATTATTGGGAAGGTTGTGTTATAAATCATGCTGTTCATCATATGCATTCAAAATAGTTCCTACAATGCTAGAAAAGGGAAATTTAATATTGTAAAGTATTTACAGTGCCACCAATCGAGTAACAGAGTGGAAATGGGGGGGAGGGGGAGGAAAATCTACAAATAACTAGCACCAGCATGTTTCCGGAAATGAATGAGTACATGAATTTAGCTGTTTATTAGTGCGGAGGCATGCTGTAAGGATTAAATAAGGGGAAGGGAAGGGGTGACACAGAAGCCCATTAATTTGCAAAATACAAAACTCGACATTTCCAAGAAAAAATACAATTAAAATGTGTATATTTTTGACAATTAAATTACAAATGTCTTTGTAATTTCTATATATGTTGTGTATAAAGAGCAAGGAAAAACTGCTGTATTTTTTTAATGGAAAATACGGGGCTCGATCCCTGCAAAAGCACCAAATGCATATCATTTAGGATAATGTCACTGACACATGTTTGACAACTAAATTACACAGCTCTTTGATATACTGTGTATGAACAGTGGCAATTATGGCCAATAAAATCAAAGAAAGAAAAAAACTAATTAACACTAACATATCATTATGACTCACTAGCATATAAAATCCTATGCCTGCTCTAAATTGCCAGCAATTGGCAATTCCCAAATTCGTAAAGATGAAGACAATAGTTTCCAAATAACTGGAGCCACCAGAGATTTTGGGGGGCTCTTGGGAGCTTTACCATTACTTTCTTCTATCAAAGGGCCCAAAACACAATAATGACTTACAAAACCCACCCATGCCTGCTCCCAAGGATTATAAACTGCAGTGATTAGTTTGGGATTCTAAACAAATTATGATACTGCCTTATAAAAAAAAAAGATGGTGGTTAATTTTTTTGGTAGAAAGAATATGGAATTTGGAGACAAAAGACCTGAGTTCGAATTCCAGATTAGACATTTATTATCACTGTAACTTTGGGCAGATTATTTAACCCTCCATCAAGTGGGAATAGTAACAACGTCTACCCTCACAGAGTTGTTGTGAGGAGAAATGAGGCAAAATGAATGTGAAAATATTTTAAAATGGGGGAAAAAAAAAACACTCTACAAATGTTAACTCTTCTGCGCTATGAACAGGCTTCATCTAAACTTAGCAGGTGAGAAAAGTACAAAGGTTTCCTGCTACAAAAATCTAAATACGTATCCTGCTACAAAAATGTGAAAACACTGAAAATAAACTGATCTTAATAGAAAGAGTAACATCTTACAGAGAGAAAGACTCCATGAAATCTGGATTTAGTAAAATTGACCCAGGTTTCATATGGAGAAAAGCTGACAGAAATTTTCAGTAAGACATTAAATCTGTTTTTACACAGCGAGTAAACCCAGATCTTAAAAGCCTCTGTGGCTTCAAGATTCTATAGAAAAGCATTGGAGACACTAAATTAATTGAAATTAAAAAGTAAAAATAAAAATCATACTTGGCTACTGATAGCAAAGTAAAAATGTATTATCAGAAGACTTAATAAATAACTGTAGATAACAGTTTTATTCTTCCAACTTTATTACTGAAAAATTCATAGTCACAGATGACCTCCTAAATTCTCAAGGTCACTCCATGGTGACATCATTGAAACCCAGAAGAGGGCTGATTTTCCAAAATTTTCCTGGAAGTAGGGTATTTCTGCATAAATGTACCAAGTGAGAAAATGCATTGAGAGCACTCGGTGAAGGTCATCATGCCATACAAGTGTGTAAGATGTTATTATTAGAGAAATCTGAAAAGCTTTTAAAGATTTTTGAATCATATGGCATGAGCCCAGATCTGTGAAATTTACAAAATAAAGAATTCTACAGAAATGGTATAAAAAAAAACGTGTATATCTCAATACAAAGTATAATAAATTGAAGGGGTGGGGAATGAAAACCACAAGACAAATTCCTTTCCTGGCTTCCAGGGCTGTTCTTTGACAACCTTGGCTTTGATTTTCCATGTCACTCAGTCACACACAATGCACATCTTTGTTCATCTCTGGTCCCCTGCAGTTACTCCTGTTCTGAGTTATTGAGCTTTCAAATAACTGATTTCTCCTGTTGCTTTTCTGAACTCCCTAAACGGCTCCAGCAATCAGCTCATCAGTTATCCATTCCTGACATGGATTCAGCACTGTGGGCCTCTCCCATCTGCCGCTGTTTGGGTGGCAAAACCCCACACACAGGAGTGAAGGGTGCGCGAGGAGAAGGCCTCAGTGCAACCCAGAGGAAAACTGATTTGCAAAACCAGCTCAAAAGCGGCTGCCCTTCTTAAAATTCCATCGAATCTTGAGTTTCCAGAGAGTCCTCCAGGCCTAATGGGTCCCCTACGCCTGACTGCGAGCTTAAGGTAAACCCAGAGTTTTTATACACATTATGAGCATTCATAAACTTCTGCAGGTATTTGGAGGTATACAGCCAGTGGTGTTTCAAGACATCTTCCATCTCATAGCATTTGGACTGTCTGGCGTTCATTTTTCGGAAGCGCCTGAACAGTTTGTTGCCAGACTCATTTCCCTCGCTCGCCCATGCCCCAATGGAGCCATCTCTCTCAATAATTTCAGGGACGTGTGCCAGGGTTTTGTGAAAATAATTGGTGATTTTGCCCTCATATCTATACTTGAACTTGGTAGAAAGGAGCTCAGCAAAACGCTGTGAATTGAAGCTATACTGGCAGAGGGATTCTGGGCACTCTTTTGCGGGACACGTTGATCGCCATACAGGCTTCATCTTCAGGTAAAGGTCCATCAGCTCCCTCAGAGCTTCGTGCCTCTCCTCAGAGGGAATTAATTCACAAACTGCTTCAACTGTCTCTTTGGTCATGAGCTTCCTGGCAAAGTTGCCGTTCATCCTCATGATGGGTTTCAGGTTCATCTTCTTCCGGAGATGCTTGTCCAATGTAGCCTGCCATCTTTTCCTTTCCTCTTTGGAAGCATTTGGATTCCTATATGCCTCCCCTATCTCTAGCTGGAAAATCTTGTAGAACTCAGCCGCGTTGCCAATGTCACAGTGGAGGGCATCTATGGAAGGGACAGTCTCGATGAAAGGTTTCGATGAGACCCCTTTCACCCGATCCCGCAGTTCTTCCACTGACTCGTGGTATGGGTTGGAACGCCAGACCTCATAGCGCTCCAGGTTCTCAGAGTGGCTTCTGGTGATGGAGTGGAAGACAAGATTTTGAGAGGCTTCCAGGCGGGTGGCGTCACAAAGGGTACAAATGTAGACTGAGCCAGAAGCCTCGAGGCCTTCGACTTCCCGGACAAGTTTCTCATCATATCCGGTGCCCCTAAAGATGAACTTGAAAGTCCGAAGGATGCCTCCCATCTCAAGCATTAATTGGCTGCTCTTCATGGCCTCCCTCTCGGCAATGAGAGGGCTCAGGATGGCCGTCAGGGTCTCATGGTCAGACTCATCTGCCAGCATGAGACACAGGGGCTTACAACACAGTTCAGAGTTGGGTTTGACTTCTTCAAACACCTTCACGTTTTCTGAGCCATGGGCTACAGTAATTTTCATGACCGTGAACGAAAACCGAACTGCCTTTTCTGGAACTGCTGGCCCGCTCCCGTGCTTCTCGCTCACATCTCCCATTCCGTCACAAGACTCCTTCACCACGACGGTGAAGGGGCCATTCAGGTAGTCATCAAGGTCTTGGGCTCTCATGCCTTCCAAGATGTCTTCTTCCATGTCCATCAGAGCAGATACCAAAGCCGAATCGTAGCGGAAGCGCTTCGCAATGGTGTCCACAGGGTAGTCATCCACCGAGGAGGACAGGCCGGACAGGCCATCAATAATGCCCACGTCGGTGCTGGAGGACACGTTCTTCAGAGGGGGCTGCCACTCAAAGGGGTGGTAGCCTGGCAGGAGGACCTTCTCAGCATTCCGAAGGGCATGCAAAGGCTGAAAAATCTGCCTCCCGGTGATGGCTTTCACAGTCCTGTACATCTTGTGGTACTGACTGCAGCTGAGGAAGGTGTTTACACGAATGGCCAAGCACACAGCTGGCTGCAGGCCAGAGCCCCGTCCCTGCATGATGGCCTCCAGCTCGTCCGCTTGTCTGTGCTCATTCCTTGCCCTCAGCGCCAGCAGGAACAAGGTCAGACACACGGATTTCACATCTCCACCTTCTTCTCTGTCGGCGAAAGCCTTGACTTGCAGCTTGAGCTCCCTCAGGCGGTGCTTCTGAGCCCTTCGGGTCAAGGACAGGAGATGCTGACGGGGCCGACCCCCTTTGTTAATATGCACAAAAGTCTCTTTGGATTCCTTGTGGCTTGAGACGTGGTGATTATATTTTTCTAGGCTGACCTCCTCGTTGCACTCCTTGGCTGGACATTTCACCATCAGGGAATTCAAGATGCTCAGAAAGGACTTCACTGGACTCTCCAGGTCGGTAGGGAAGCAGGGATATTGGCAACAGGGACAATTGCTGCCCATGACTTTGAGGCATCTGAGAATGCAGATCCTGCAAAATACATGCTTACAGGTGGTCTCCACAGGGTCAGCCAGAATGTGTTTGCAAATCTGGCAGGAGATGGATTTCACAAAGTGTGCCGGGAAGTCCACTGCAAGAAGCTTGGTACTAAGATGTATATTACTGCAGTTGGAAATCTTCTGCATCAGTTCCTTGCTGCTAATCCTTGCCGGAGCTCTTCTCTTGTGCCGATGGGCTCTTCTCGCTTGGTCAACCACAGTTTTGAGTTTTTTGCTGAGCTGCCCGTTTGGCTGATGACTCTTCCTCTTGAGTCCCTGGCGGGCAGTGTGGCAGATGTCACAGGATGGTGTGTGGGGGTGCCACTCCATGGTTGCATTCCTTGGGAAGTGAACCTCACATGGGGCACTGCTAAACTTCCTGTACAGGATGCGCCAGCAGTTATGGCAGAACTCAGTGGGGTGGATCGAGTCAACATCTGCTTTCACATCGATCCGGAAGACCTTGGCAATGAGGTCTGGCCAGGAAGTGGCTCTCTTTTCCTTCTTTCGTAAAAGGACTTGGGTTTTACCATCCACAGGCCCGTGGACTGGATATCTCCTATTGTGCCCATCAGTTTTAAAAGAATTCCCACAGATACGGCAGAGATGTCGAAGATTGGCTTGGTGGATTGCTTTGTCTCTTGCTTTCCCATCATCATGGGATTTCTTCAGAAACTTAGGGTGAGCATTTAATGCTGGTTGACTCAGAGCTGGCTTCTGACCATCAGCCTTGTCCAGGACAGCTGGAGATTGCTCCAGAGAGGGTTTCCCCTCAGAGGAAATTTTCTTTTCTACTTGAGCTTCTTCGGGTGCCTTTTCAAAAGATCGTACCCTGAACAGTTTAAATTTCCATTCTGAAAATTTAATATGTGGATGCTGAATTTCATCTGGGGCAGAAGTGAGTCCCAGGGTGGGTGGCAAAGAGACAGCCATGCTGATTGAGATGCCTGAGAACAATGAAAACAAGTCAGATTAAGAAAAACATTCAATAGCCCACGGATGCATCTTGAAAGGAATACATATTAACACATTCAATTATTCATTCATTCATTGATCCAAAAAGTTACTTATTAAACCTCCTATTTTAATATACTCTGTTAGGTGCTGAGCATACAGCAAAGAACAGTCATTCCCCGCTTCAACCGTGTACATGGTCATCTATACCAACATGCACCACTATGGTTCATTTTACGTATATATGTATGATCTTATTTTCTTTTCTTTTTTTTTTTTAAAGATTATTTATTTATTCATGAGGAACAGAGACAGAGAGAGAGAGAGGCAGGGGGAGAAGCAGGCTCCCAAGGAGCAGGGAGCCTGATGCGGGACTCAATCCCAGGACCCTGGGATCATGACCTGAGCCGAAGGCAGACGCTTAACCATCTGAGCCACCCAGGCGCCCTGTATGATCTTATTTTCTTTCCACCAAGACCTTTAAGTCTTTGAGGACAGAATTTTGGAGTGATTCATCTCTATCTCTCCGACATTCCTAGTACACATTAGGGCTGAATAGTTATTTGCTGAATAAATACAAGGAAAAACTGACTAGTAAAACCACAGAAAAGTCATATTTTCTGCATTGTATTAGCCTCATTGCACTAGCTGGACAATATATTTCCAGCTTTTTAAAGCAGTCTCCTGGGAGTTTGGTTGTTTATTTCTTCCAAGCAGGTCATAAAGGGATGATAAAGCTACAAACCCAAAGAAACTAATTACTCACTACTTGAAAGGATGAAGTGAATTTTGAGGCTTTATGAATGCTAATAATAAGTATCATGGATAGTAATTATGCTTACAATTTTAATTAGTGAACACTGCTGTAAATTATAAGGCTGTGTCTACATTAGAAACAAAACACCACAGAACTCTCTAAACCTGCAACAAACCATAGTATGAACATACAAAGAGTCCAAAGGGCTTTTAAGATTAAAAATTCAAGTCATTTCAGGTAAAAATCACACAGGCCATCCTGGAAGTCATTACTGGACAATGGTCATTAGCTTTATAGTTTGTAATAAGAAGAGGCAGGAGTAATATTTTTCTTTTGATAAAAAAATATTAGCAATTGCATATGCCAGGAAACCCTACCAATCTGGGTACTGCTGCAGAGAAAAATCTGCAAATGCCATTTGAGTCCTCTCTAGATCCAATTAGCCCAATATTTTCAAAATTCCTTAGCACATATCACTGGAAAAACAGCGACTGTGTCTCAACCCATCATCTATCTCTCCCAGATTTGCCAGGGTTAACACTCTTGACCCACAAATTATGTCAAGCAAAACTTTTTCCCCCTCGATTAATTAACTAACCAGATTGGGGCGCCTGGATGACACAGTCGGTTGGGCGTCCGACTCCTGATTTAGGCTCAGGTCATGATCTCAGGGTTGTGGGATCGAGCCCCATATCAGGCTTCATGCTCAGTGGGGCGTCTGCTTGAGATTCTCTCTCTCCCTCTGCCCCTTCCTCCCCACTCCACCTGGCTCATGTTCTCTCGTTCTCTCTCTAAATACACAAATAAATAAAATCTTTTTAAAAAAAAGGAACTAACCAGCTTGATGATATTTTTATATAGTCGTGTGGTCATGGAGACTAATCCTCAGATGAATAGCCAGGGTGGGGTGGGGCCTGGGGGGAAGGAGGTGCAACGGCCAATCCTGACTGCTGCTACCAAAGTTTTTCTTTTCTTTTCTTTTCTTTTTAAGATTTTATTTATTTATTTGACACACACACACACACAGAGAGAGAG